GGCGGGTAAGTCTTCTTAGAAGCCGTATAAAAAGATCCCGAGGCCCTTTTCCCCAAAAGGGTCTGGTGGGAGCCTCTCGGGTGAGAACATCTACCGCCTCCTGGAGTGGCCCTCAGGAGCCTATCCATAGTGGGCATGCGAACGGAAAGAATAGTAGTAGGGGCACGGCCTATTTGCCCAGGGTCCACCTCGGGACCTTGGTGCTCACATTGATCAAATGTCGTGACCGCGGCACTTGGGGCCGCGGCCAGAGCCTCTAGAGGCCGCCAACGGAACGCGGACGGGGCCCTTGGGGCCCACGTGGGGTTGGCAGGATGCTCCATCCAACCCCCCGTGCCTGCCCTCAGATGCTCCGCCAAGAGCCAGACCATAGCGTGCAACAACTGAGACCCAATACGAAGCTGCTCGGACTGACGCTGAGACACCCAAGGTAATCCCCACATATACTGAGTAGACCTGAGAGGGGGGGGGCCTCCCTCGTGCCACCGTGCAGCAGACCAGGTTTCACAAGGAGGCCCCCCCCCAGTGTTGATGACCCTGTGACAGCGTATGTGCTCCACCCATTCAAGAATCGTAGCCTCCTTCGTCAAGTCCCCCCTGTCGGCGTCAATGGCAATGTCAACGCTGAGAATCACTAAGTGAAGGTCGGACATAATCGTCTCATGCTCGAGCTGCCACTGGACATCGCCTCTGCGACGTTGCCCGCAGTAGAGATGTAGAACGTACGCCGTAGGTCGACGAATGCGAATAGGGACTGCAGAAGCCAGAAACTCGGGATATTCACCAGGGTTATAGACATAGAAAGGGGTCTCAGGGACCACGGGGATCACCGAGGGAACATCCGAACAAATCGTAGTATACTGCTGGATGAGGTCATCGGGGATGGCGGGGTCAGCTTCCAGGAGAAGCTGTAGGGCATCATGGTGCGAAAGATGTGAGGTAAGGGCCACAACATCGGGGTCACGGGAGAAGGCGGGGAGTCGTGTAGCGGGGACTTCGATACGCCACCTCCCCTGTCCACAAGCCCGTTGATTTCGCATTCGTACGTCCTCCTGCTGCTGAAGTGCGGTGGCTTCTGCTACCGTGCACTGCGGAGCAGACACGATGAGGCCAATTGCACATGGTAATGAGTCGAATGCAAGGTGCGCCGTGAGAGCAGACCGATGCGCAAAAGACTGAAAGCATGTACAGCAGGAGAGAGACGAACCCTGACAATTACGAATGAACGATACTCGTGAATGATGTACGCGCTGAATGTGCGTTCGAAGCCCTCTGATGCGAGAAAAAGAACGTGAGCACCACATACATGTAAACACATTGGCGTCCTCTCTCTCCTGCTGGCGTAGGCGATGCCGTGGGTCGTCCCATGCCGGTGGGACCCCTGCTGATTCGAGTATCTGGAATATCTGGTCTTCGGCAGCCCGAGCAAGAGTGTCTCGCTGTATGTGCCGAACGTGAGAAGCCAACGCCTGCCTAATTGTCTGCTTCCATCCCACTGCTGACTTCTTGGCTTCCATCTCCCAAGACTGTAGGTTCTCGAGAGGGTCGGGGAACTCCTGGAACCTACGGGTGTACAAACGCAGCCATCCAAGATCACCCAGAATCATATGTCCCCATGTCCTGGAGGTCTCAACCATAGCAGTGTGAACTAAAGCCATAATATGGGGCGGGCCCGAGAGCAAGAGGCGGCCAAAAAGGCGAAGCCTGTGGGCAGACAGCAATGCTTCGAGCGGCGGGCGGCCCACTCGCGCAAGAACATACTTAGACGGCATGGCTGTATCATCTGCTCGGGGAAGTCTGGCAATAGCGCGGTAATAACGGAGGAGACCGTCCTGTAAATGATTATGCTGTGCCTGGGTAAGAAAGCCCCAAGTGCTGGATTGAAATAATCTCCCAGAGCAAACCAGAGAATCCAAGAAAACCAATGCAGTCTGCATCTCGATGGTTTTGTGCTTAAAGACCTTGCCTCTGAGAACCCTCCAGGCCTGCGAACATCCCGAGAGACGGTGAGCCAGTTCTGGCCCCATAGACGCTGACATATCATGTTTAGTACCAAGATGAACATACTCTTGAACCCGATGAAGACACATGGGCCCCAAACTATGTGTAAATGTATGTATGGTATTGTGCAGCGTCTGTACCAAAGTACGTTTGGCCCCTTTGGAGGAAATGCCACGAAATTGAAATAAAAAGGCAGACTTGCCTGGTTTGACGTTGACCTGAAGGCCCGAGGCTGAGAACGCGTCAATGACCACGGAGGCAATAAACGGCGCTTGCTGCAATAAAATACTGGCACGGCCTTCAAAGCAGAACAGGGCGTCATCAAAGAAGGCGCCGTCCATAGAGTGACATGTGTAAACTGCTGGCGGCTGCTCCGCATTCCCCTCGGTGTAGGACGCGAGAGACGAGACTAGGTGACATGGAAGACGTAGCCCAACTCCTAAAGCGAGAAGACCTTCCTGGGCAGTGGCCATGATTTTGGCCATGATGAAATTGAAAACCAAATCGCCCAGTTGTTGTCCAGGACCAGAGCCCAAACAGGGAAACGCCACACCTGACCCATCTTGCACATAAAACCAGGATTGATCATACGCATCAGAAATTTGGCCCCTGCGAAAGGCCGAAACACCGTGATGTTCGAGCAGGGGGGTGGACGACCGTATGGTTTCAGCCAGGTCCTGGGTGGCCTCCGGAGGTAACCCACAGAACTTGAGTAGTTTGGCGATGGCTTCGTCATTGGCCGAGGTACGAAATATTAATTCCCGAACTGATTTGTAGAAAGCCTGAACAGCATCAATGAACAACATCATCACCGTGTGGTTGCGCGCAGCTGCAAGTTGTTGAAACACACGGAGTTCGAGCGCTGAAAACTCAGTACCGCGACCAGCCAGGCCACCGAACTGTCGGTCCCCTGCTGCCTGCTCGAGCTGGGACACCACACTTTGACGAGTAAGAGCACGAAACCTCTTTCCCACTTGAGAAGATCCTAAGATGGATCTGTAGTTTTTGACATTAGAGGGGACACCGGCCTTGAACAGACTCCAGTAAAACCCGCCTTTCCATTGGATAGGTTCACATATAGGGACCGTGCTCTTAACGTACAGTGGGTGAAAAAGGCGACCGATCTGCAGCGCGAACTTCTTAAGGACTGCTCCTGCGATGCCGTCGGGGCCTGCAGCGGAAGCCTTGGCACGAAACAACGTCTGCTGGGTGATACCGAGGGACGGGACGTCCTCTATGTTAATGTCCACGTTATGCGTAACGTCAGAGGTGAGGGCGGGGAGGGAGTTCATGTACCATGATATGTCAGGAATCGGGATAACTGGCGCCGCCTCCTCTCCACTGAAATGCTGAAGCCAACGATCCGCGACCTCGATGTTCGAACGAAGTGGCTTGCCCTCGAGTCCCAGGAGCATCGGCATAGGCCGAGCTGATTTTTTGCGACGCGAACAGGCTCCCATGGCTCGAAGTTTGGCAAAGGACTCCTTGAAGTCCTGACGAGACCAGGCTGAAGAGACTTCTTGGGCAAGATGTTTTGCGTGGGCCTTCGCATCCTGGTCAACGAAGTGCGTCACATACCTTGTCATAATTTCAAGCGCAATAGCACGTGAGGCCAGACCAAGGCCCGATAAACGAACGACGTAGTTCCAGCAAGACGCATAGCCCGATAGGGCCGAAGTACCTGGAAGCACCCAACGCATGTCCTCCAGAGTAGCTGGGCTAGAAAGCCGATCCAAGACAGCCCCGCCAGTACGAACCCAGAGCCTGAAATATACGAGGTATTTATTCGATTCCACTGCGAACCTCACATTAGAGATCCTCTCACCTAACATGTCCCGCAGGCAGTCAATGTAGTAGAAGAGCTCGAGGAGAGTAGGCCTGAGGAGGGAAGATAGCTGGCTCGCACGTGAGCCCCATCTGGTGCCAAATACTCCTGGTGTTCGAGCTGACAACTTCCACTGCCTGGTGCGTAGACAAGCCCATGGACCTCGAATAGGCTCAGCCCAAACATGGAATAAGAGAGCTAACTGCAGCTGTCTGCAAGCAAAGCCTACCTGTCTATAACTTCGGAGCTGGGAAGTACGAGCATCCATCAGTTCCAAAGTCTGCTGGGAAATCCAGGGTTGGCGAGGCCGTCTGCCCGTGGTGGTAGTACGCGTAGGGAAAGCAGTTTCCAAACATCTCTGAAGATGATCCGTTAGCACCTGGCAGTGAGAAGAAGGCGAGGCTTCGAACGGCACAGCAGGACATTCCTGCAGAAGCTGAGAAAAAAGCTGCTGTGCCTCCACGTCTGCAAAGCGAGCCTGGTCGCACTTGATTTTGTGCGAGTTGGCCGTGGGAAGCGTGACGGAAGCAACTGGAACTGTAATACTTGCGGCAACCAAGAGATGATCTAATATAGATATGGTGAGGTCCACGTCCGACACGACAGACTGCTTAGCGACCGATATCCCAAACGAGCAAGTGATGTAGTCGATACGGCGACCCGCAGAGAGCCCGTGGGAACCAGGGGGAAACCACGTCGCAGCCGATGTTTGACCAGACTCCAGGAAGGTCGAAGGGACCCATAGCTCGTTCTCCTCCAAAAAGCTGTGAAAATACTGCCCTGGAAGGTTCTGGGTCTCAGCCGCAATAGGACCCACGTATCTGGAAACAATCGAACCGACACGAGCGTTGGCATCCAACAAACAAACCAGCTCAACACCAGGAGAGCGATGTGAAGCGATAGCGAGCGAAACCGTCCTCCACCAGTCCTCGATGATATGTTCTGGCTTCTTGCTGTGAGGAGCGTGAGCGACGAGAACGTCCACGGCGAACGAGTCGACTCGAAGGGCGGCGAGGAGGTAAGTAGGGGTCGCCGCAAGTGTCCAGCAATGCTTGGCCTGCAAAGATACACCGAGAAGAACTTCGATGAAGGTATTGATCCAGAGAGAACAGCCAAACCGACGAGATTCATCAGCCTCTGAATGTATAATATGGTATGGTGCCACAGTGGAAAC